CCTTTTCTCACTTCTAATCCTGCTCTCCTGCTCTCCTCTGTTCTCTGATTACTCTGATTACTCTACTCACCCCATCTCCCAACACAGATCATAACTGCCCATAACATATCACCACATTAGCACAACACAACATCACATACAACACATACACATACAACACAACACATCTCTCCAACTCACAGTCTCAGGACCATAGAATAGGATACTCTACAGAAAGACAACATGGTACACACAGCACATACTTAATAAACAGACGCGCCTCCCACTCTATATGCACACACGCACATACATGCACACACAGACATAAACACACTCACATAGTATGCTTGATCCAAGGTCGATGTAACATAGACAATTGGGACTGTATACAAACACAGACGGAACACAGACAGAACAGCTCACATAGTATGCATGCTCAAGGTTGTTGTAACATAGACAACTGGGACTGCACACAAACACAGATAGAGCACAGACAGAACTGGGGGGCTGCTAATGCCCTGAAGGTACAACTCAGTCAACTCGCATATATACGAATGTTCAGTCTCCATCAAACCGTAAAGAGGGAAAAGGGTGAGAAGGGTTTAAGGGTTTAAAGGGACAGACACAGCAATAATCAAACAGGGGGACTGCTGAAATAGGGCTGGGCTTAGGGATAAGGGGTACTCCAACAAGGGAATGGGTGACATTAGCAGTTCCATGGGATAACGGAGCCCCAGGATAAGTCAACAATGATCACAGCCCCAGGAAAACAACAAACACCAATCTATGTGCTACATGATGTATCAATGGGACCCTGGACCCGGTTTCCAGCTGGTGCCGCTCCCCACCAATAGATGGAGCAGCCTGACAGATAAGCCCTCAATTCTGATGGTTCTCTTACCACCGCCAGGATAGAGGGATATCACAAGGGCTATTCTCGCAAAAAAAAAAAAAAAGAGAGAAATTGAATCTTTACCATAGGGGGCCTGTGGGACATCCCGGAAGGGACATGGATGGCAACACAACTGCGACGGCGGCTGCTAAAAACTACAAAAAATCTAGACATGAAGGTGGGGAAACAAAAGAAGCTATCCCCCTAAGTTGGGTGGTGGCCCTCAAAAGAGGTCCCCTAGTTCGCAAGGATGATTGGGGGGGTATCTCAATGGCAATTTACAAGGTACAGCAACTGGTGCCTGTAGGAGCCACACTACAGGCGTACGACCTGGATCTTTGTGGGGCCAGGTGGGCAAGATGGAAGAGGAGTGACCAATTACAAAAGCTTATGAGAATAAGAGTGGTAGGCGACAAGGAGGGGGAGGGGGAGGAGGGGGGGGGGGGGGGGGGGGGGACGGTTCGGGTATGAAATGTCGACCCCCGTCTGATCTCTCCTGTTTCACCCCGAGGAGTGGGAATGGCCATCGTACGAACCACTACCGGTCTGGCAATACACAGTAAAAGAAGGTTATATGCACTGTCACAAGCGACACTCTTCCACAGAGGTTTTCAAGGAAAGATGGGACAGAGACTCCACACTCATCAAAGAGGAGCTGGCAGATCAGCGCTCGACCCAGTTCTCTCCCCGATCTTCAAATCAATCTCCCTCAACCCCCTGCCGCCGCTCAGTTAAAGGTACTGAAACCCTAAACTGAACTGCCACCTACCTTCTTCCCCCGAATACAACGCACAGTCCTTACAGGTGTATTTAGACTGAAAGATGCCCCGAATACAGCTGTATTCGGGGGAAGAGGTAGCTGTTTCACGGCTTGGAAGGCCTGAACTGCACCAGCAAGGAGTTTTCAGGTTAGCAAACCCTAAACTGTCTGCATTCCGGCAAACACTAAACTGCTTGCAGTCCACTGCAACTTCGTTCTGCACTTGCTCCACCTCCAAATTGGTTCCTTTCACCTCCTTCCCCTGGATCACTTCACTTGAATATGGCAGACATCACTTGTCCACCTCCAGCAGCCTCCCGGAAGAAGATGGCCAACAGTTTGCTCACAAGCAGTACCGGGTTGCGGCTCTGATACCAACTGTTATGCAACCGATTGAAACACAATCCAACAGAGCATCAACATCTCCCCATACACATGCCACGTCGACAAAGCAGATTTGGCAAGGGAATTCATACCAAACCAGATGAGATATTGCATAGCGGAAGTCCGACCCCACCAAGAACTAAGAATTACCAATTCATAATCCCTGGCCAGTCCTCAGCTCAATCAGAATCACAATGGACCTTAGAATCGCAACTGAGAGTAAATCACTTAGAAAACTCCGAACATAGCTTCATCAAGCTTCTGGAGCCTTCCTCCTCCCTCCAGCATCGTCATCTACACCACTGGCTATGGCGCGCAGCCTTAATTCCTGCGGACCACCACCCCCGCCCTCCGACTGTCTCAGCAGGACCATCGCCATCTAGAAAACACTTGATGCTTCAGAGCTGGGCCAGAGACCTCTGTCTCAGGACATAGGTTCAGAAAGGCTCGGCGCGCCATAAGGTGCCTCCAGCCCCGGGTGTACTGCTGTGTTAAGCTCGTCGGTGGCCCTCTGCGCTTCTGGCCTCTTGAGAAAACCAGATAGGGACTGCTAGAGAGAGTGGTATGAGCACTCTTATCTCTAGTAGGCCTCCTAACGGACACCCGTGTGTCTATTCGTGCCTGCCTCTGCTATCATGCCATCCTACCATCTAGTTGCAGAACTCACCGGAAAGGATGCGGTCACTATCACCTCCCAACGCCTCCAATGAGCATGAAAAGAGGCCTCCCAATGCCTCCAATCATCAATGAAACGACAATATAGCTCCCTATTTTCCGCCAAGACTACTGACAGACACTCTTATCTACGTAGCCGACTATGCCACAGCAGCCTCCACGTGAAGTCAACCCAATGCCGCTTGAAGACAGTTGAACAGCCTGCCTTCGTCGTCGCCAGGTACGTGCCACGTCACACTACCTTCATCTCCTTCTCCTTCCAAGGACTTCCGCTTCTCCACAGCCACTCAGCTATGGTCCGAGCAGCGTGGCTATGGCTGCCGAGCTCCCTTCTTCCTTCTGCCACCGCACGGCTTCGTCCTTGGACACAGCACTCAGCTGCCGCTCCAGCAGCACTGCTGCATTGGCACAAGGCCGGAATGTGTGGAGCAAGCTGCCCCCCAGCCTTTTCTGCTCTCCGGAGTGGCCGAGTTGCCTCTGCCCAGGCTTCATCGAGTCCCAGTACCCTGCGCCCTGGACACTTCCAGAAACTGAACGAGGCCCTTTCAGAGTATTTCTTTTCAAAAAAATGACAGGAGTATGCCTCAGGCACAGCATATGTTCGTTTTTTATTTTTTTTATTTTTTAACAAAGATACACCTTGGCCCCTCGTGGGGGGTTCATCTCCACAGCCTACAGAGATCAGATTACAGACTGCCCGGCTGATGCGGTCTTACTGATCATGGCTTGTGTCCCATGGTATGAGGCACAATGCAGCTCATCGCTGCATTCCACTGTGCTGTGTTCTCATCCAAGCTCTTCTAAACTCAAAGCCCTACCTTCTTCCCCCGAATACAACGTATGGTCATTATAGCTGTATCTAGACTGAAAGATGCCTCAAATACAGCTATAATGACCGTACGTTGTATTCGGGGGAAGAAGGTAGTGTCTTAAATCTTTAAACCCTTGAACCCTCGTACCCTTGAGTTCTTGATCGTAGTATCCCTTTGTACTCATAAAGGCTTAATGGGCCCTGAAGCCCTACACTCCCCCCATCCCTCCCCGCCCTAAAACGCATGGCTGCATGGCCTGACTCCCTTGAGCCCGTGGGTCTTCACAGGTCCCATTGTGGGGCCAGCAATGGTACGCAGGGTTGGGCCCACAGATGTTGTTCCAGTCTCGGTATCCCTGATGCATTCTGTCACACCAATCCTGCAGCCGTTCGTCCTGCTCCTGTGTCTGGCGCCTTCAACTCCGGGGAGTAGACAGGGATGGGTGAGAAACAGAAGAGAAGAGGCGGGGGGGGGGGG